TTCCCCCATTTGTCCGTATCCGTGTGTTGTCTCTTGTCTTCGATTACAAACTCTTTGGGACAGGGACGGTTTTTTTGATCTGTGTTTGTACAGCACCTAGCACAGTGGGGTGCTGCTCCATGACTAAGGCTGCTAGGGCTTTACGTTAATATAAAAGTGAGATGGTAAAAGTGCTGAAGTACTGTGAACTCAGAAGGATCAGGTAAGTACTATTATGGACCTAGTAATAGTTAAGGAGAATTAAAGGTCAGGTTGGCAACAGTTTTCATGATCTTGACTATCAAGTTTGGTAAATCTAGGAGAGAGATGCTAGGAAGGTTGGCATTGCCTAGAGCTGGTCCCGAGAGTGGGCAGTATTTTCTGCCGTTTCAAAAGCACTTTCTTTTTTGCCGTTTCAAAAGCACTTTCTTTTTAAGTGTGATGCATCAAATCCCGGAGAGAGGTTCGGTTTTCAGATTTGTCCTCCCCAACGCCACCAGAAATGGGGGAGAAGAGGGAAGCCACAAAGACCACATGTTTATTTTGATCTGACCAAAAAAAAAAAGTTTTGAAAAACCCAAATGTTTTTTGCGGGAGCATTTGTATTATTTGAACAGGCTTCCTTCAAAAAATAACCTTGGGGGGCAAAATTATGATGACTAACTGAGCTTCTTCTATCCCCTTCGATATATGAGTGAAATCCTGGGCCCACTGACAAAACTCCAATGGTCTTAAAAGGGCAGAATCCTGGGCCCTAGGAGTCTAATGAGGAAGTTATAGATCCCGGGGGTAGGGAGAAGAGGGTCAAGAGCAGTAAAGCAGCAGGACTATATGGCGCTTAGTCGGTGGTTTCAACCCCAGTGACACATAAGCAAAGTATGTGGGGGAAAGCACAACCAGTCCGAGTTGGCAGCCTCTCTCGCTTTGCACAGCGCTAAGCAGGCACCAACGGAATCCGAAATGTCTAGTTATGGAGTTATTGGGTGCAATCCTCCCAGGCTGATCGTTCCCCTCTATTCGGCATTGGTGAGGCCTCATCTGGAGTACTGTGTCCCGTTTTGGGCCCCACACTACAAGAAGGATGTGGAAAAATTGGAGAGAGTCCAGCGGAGGGCAACAAAAATGATTAGAGGGCTGGAGCACATGATTTATGAGGAGAGGCTGAGGGAACTGGGATTGTTTAGTCTGCAGAAGAGAAGAATGAGGGGGGATTTGATAGCTGCTTTCAACTACCTGAAAGGGGGTTCCAAAGAGGATGGAGCTCGGCTGTTCTCAGTGGTACCAGATGACAGAACAAGGAGCAATGGTCTCAAGTTGCAGTGGGGGAGGTCTAGGTTGGATATTTCACTAGGAGGGTGGTGAAGCACTGGAATGGGTTCCCTAGGGAGGTGAATCTCCTTCCTTAGAGATTTTTAAGGTCAGGCTTGACAAAGCCCTGGCTGGGATGATTTCGTTGGGGTTGGTCCTGCTTTGAGCAGGGGGTTGGACTAGATGACCTCCTGAGGTCCCTTCCAATCCTGATATTCTATGATTCTGTGAACCCCAGTACACAACTTCTACGGGTTCACTGCATGGACCAGAAACTCTGACACTCCCCAGGAGCTGAGAAATAGTGGGCAAGTCAGAGGAGCAGGAGGAGATCATAGCAACTGCCATGATTGCTAACGGACTGCGGCTGGGGTTGTCAACATTGTATTTCAAAAATACGGGACTTTTTTCTTAGCACCCTTATGGGGGAGGAGTACCCTGTACCCAAAGGTGCCAGGGGTGGGGTGCCCAGTACCACAGGGGGTGGGGAGTACTAGCCATGTGGAAATTGAGGAAACTTTCCACTCCACACAGCAGTCAGGCAGTCTTGGCTGCCGGGACCTGGCTCCCTGCCCATCTGGCTCCCCACCTGCGTAGGGGAAGTGAACAGGGCAGCACTACAGGGCCTGGTGTCGGGAGGGGAGTGGAAAGATGCACCTGGGAGTACTGACCCCCTGCTGGACAGGGCCCCCTCCTGACTACAGCCCTTGAGCATGGCCCTGTCTGCTTTCCCTGCACCAGCTCTGTCTGGCAGGGTAAGTGGATGGGGCTGCGTGCCCTGGAGCTGCGCTGAAGGGCCAGGCTCAGGAAGGGGCTGTCTGGCAGGGGGCTCGGTACTCCTGGGGTGTTGTCTTCTGTCCCCCACTCGCAGAGTGCCCACCAACATCCCCAGTAGAGGAGCATAACTGCTAGCTGGTGGCTGCTGCGGCAGGCAGGGAACATGGTGGGCAGGGCAGGGAGCCTGGTCCTCGCAGCCGAGACCACCAGCACAGAGCCCTGTCCATTTCCCCTGCCGGACTCCAGCCTTTCAGCATGGCCCGTCAGGGCTTCGTGCCCCCCCCCCCGCAATAAACTTACCATGCTCCCCCCCGGGGGGCATGCCCCATAGTTTGGGAACCCCTGCCCTATAGGTACATTGGTTCAGTAAGTCACAGGACCGATTCTGCATTACTACACTGTCTAATTGTACAAACTTTATAGCCTTGGACACCAACATAATAAGAAGACTGACTTTACGTCAGGAGAATAGTTTTAATATGTTGAAATACAGGACAAAAGGTGTCCCGTATGGATTTAGTACAGGACAGGCAATTTGCCATGTAAATAAGCGACATCCCTTGTAATACAGGACTGTTGACAACCCTAAAGCCTGCAGCCCACCTGCCCGGATGCCAGGGTCCAGCCTTTGTACTGGACACTGGAAGGAGAGGATTCCAGCCCCCCTCGATCCAGGCCCACTCCCCACCTGGTCCCTACACAAAGTTTGCCTGCGCTGCTCTTGCTGAGGGAACTAGGATCTCGGCGTAGCCTTTGAAAGCAACATCTGTTCTCAAAGACTGGAGAGAGGCAGAGCGTCTGGGCCGGAGCCAGAGCCCGCGGAAGTTGGTGAAAGTCTTTCCCTAAACAACGTGCTTTGGATCAGGCCCTAAACGACTTCTCTCCAAAGAACGAAGCCTGTGAATTGCAGACGGGCGAGAACTTCCCCGCAGTGCCAGCGAAGACAATTCAGAGCAATTAAGCATATTACAACAGTGCCGCTTCTCCCCTGCTCCTCACGCTGTCTCTTGGCTTCCCTCCTGTCCTTAAAAGGAAGGCAGGTAAGATGAGCACCAACCTTCGCAGCAGCAAGTGCCAGTCAGGTGCCAGCAATCTGTAAGGCAGTGGTCTCTGCTGCCCATCAAACCCCACCAGCGACCCACTCGGGGGGGGGGGCTGCTAATCCACCCTCAAACTCCCCTACCCTGAACTGCCTTCTTCCCGCAGCTCCATCTCATCTCTCCGCTGTTCGCTCCTGCTATAGCAGGGCTGGCTAAACTGGCTCACAAGCCACAGGCGGCTCTTTTACAGTTAAAGTGCAACTCACGGAGCCCCCCCCCCCCCGATTCTCCACCTACCAAACTGCAGGGGGCGGGGGTAGCTCGGGACCTCTGCCTTGCAGCAGGGTGGGGGGGGGGGGGGTAGGAGCTTCTGCCCAATGGGGAGTAGGGTCTGAGGGCTTCTGCCCAGCAGGGCACAGCTGCCAGGGCTTGGGACTTCAGCAGGAGTGGGGCGGAAGCCTTGACCCACACAGGTGCACCCTGGCTCTTGAATTTCTTAAGATTGCCATATGTAAGTCTGGCCACCCCATGCTATAGCTCCAGAGCATTGTGGGAGCGGTCACGAAAGAGTCCATGAAACAGAACTGTGCTAATTAAGATACTTATATGGCACCCGTCACCATTGCATCCCCGTGCTTCATAACCAGTAGTGTATTTATCCTCACGACGCCCTTGTGAGGCAGGGCAGTGCCCATTTTACAGACGGGGGAACGCAGGTCCCAAGAATAAGCAGCCTGCCCAAGGTCCTGCAGGAAGCCTGTGGCATGAACTTGAGCCCCACGAGCAGGAACGTGAACCCAAGTCCTAGGCCAGTGTCTCAACCACTGGGCCATCCACCCTCTGCGATGTGTCAGACCTCTAAACTCATCAGCACGGAAACAGGCCACTTAGTACAGGACTATTAACACTGATCCCCTTCTCTTCCAAAGATTAGACAACCCTCCATTTGAACGAGAGCTCACCAGGTGTCTGTACAGCACCTAGCACAACAGGCCACTTTGGGGTTTTGAGGAGACCTCGGAGAGCTACTGGACTGCAAATAAAGTCAATGCAACCTGGCAAGACAGTTTACCTGCAATCAGCGTTTGGAGAGGCTTTTAAGATACCAAAGTCCACCTGCATTCCAAAATGCTCCAGCCAGACTTGCAATCACACCAGGCTAGTCTAAAACTTCGCAGTAAACTCGTCGGGAGAATGACAGCAATTGTGCCATTTGCAGAGCACCCGGGCACGCTCTTCCACCGTGACTAATAAGCCTGGTATTTGTTTTTGCTCAGCCAGGGAGGCTCCAATCCTGAGCTGCACGCAGGGTGCTGAATCTGGCTTCACCAAGCTACTGATCCCAGGTAAAAATCGGAGCTTCCTGCCTCCTCCGGGTCTGTCTCATTCGATACAGGAACAAGTTCCCACACAAACAGGCTCCAATCGGTCTGCTGAGGAAAGGTGACTCCAGCTAGATTCTCCCCCTTCCTTTTGCCAGGGTCATCTTGCGTTTCTCCTAAGAGGTCTCAGGGCTCCTATTTTAACCTTGTGACACTGCTGAGGACTCAATTCTCTCCCAGTGCTGCTGTATCTTACATTCACCAGTAGCACCAATATCCACCCCATTCCCCCCCCCCCGCCCCTAATTAAGACACCTTGAGCCCTCCCTCCCCTTGATAAGAAAGCAGAATGCCAATAAACCCTGCCTGTGGCAGACACTCCAGGAAATGCACTGAATTCTACCACCACTGGCACAATTAAAGGGCTCTCCACGGTCAAAAAGATTTCAACTGCATTTTACCTTGTCTATTTAATCCGGGGAGAGTAACCTTAAACACTCCCTCATGCAATCTGGCCATTTAAGGTCAAGCGAAGGCAGCTTTAACGTACACACTGGTGGCTAAAATAACTTACTTCACATAAGATGAACAATCATGTTTTCCTTGGGCTGCTGCGGCTTCAGTTCCTCTGGGCTTCTGAGCGCTGAACTACCAGAGTCTCTGATCACCACACCCACAGCTCCTTTCCTCCCTCCCACAGCAAGTTGCCTACTTTGCTGAAACACAGATCCAGGCCTGTGTTCTGGGCAAGAGACACAGGGCCCCGAGATAGAATTACCAAACCCTCAAAGGGAAGCTAGGCATTGGCTGCTCATTACCTTTGTTCTCCAGTTGCTTAGAAACAAAAAACCCCTGTCGCTTCAATCCAATGGGTCAATTACTGTTATATGCATGTTAGAGGCATGTAAAATAGAAGTATGATTTAAAGGGAACGTCATTCAATGAATTCCTCTCCACTAGGTTACATCCCCTGGATCACCACGTCCAATATCTCCCCAGCTCCAGGCAACGTATTGCCCCCTCCTCCTGTGTATTTCGGTGCTTTCCATGATCCTTCGCCTTGCATCATTTACCTTGCTCGGCAATTTTCACACTTGCCTGGCTTCTGCTGTTAAGAGCAGCATGAGAGTCAGCTCAAAGCACTGGGAAACAGGCGAGCCATTGCTATTCAAAACACACTGCGCACATGTCTGTTGCACACTAAACATGCTTACATGATACATGTGTTCCCCACTGCAGCACACAAGCCGCTACACCTTCATGCGGTCAGCAGCAAGGGAAGATTTTTTTAACCACACCCCCCCACCTCCCGCTGCCCTTCAACCTACCAGAGCCCTCTGCCCAAAAGCCCTTCAGCTTTTCTAATCAATCCATCCATAATTAACAAATCCGTGCAATCCTTCATCAGGCAGCAAGCCTACCCCACGAGTGCTGCTAAACAAAGCCCCGCACTGTCCCAGCCTGCTTCGGGGAGCGCTGGAGAGCAGGAACAAAGCCCCATTCTCCGATTCCCCAGACGCGCCGACGCTACAATTCACTGGCTTTCCTCCCCAGCTGGAGGATTTACACGCCGCAGGAACTTACTAGCGCAGGAGGTTCAGGGCTCATCAGGCCATCACTCGGAGGATGCCCACTGCACAAAGGAGAGTGGAGGGGTGTCCAGGCTGGGGGAGCCTTTGTTAAGAGTGATTTATTATACGGACTTCCTCCCTGCTCCCCCGGAACTCCACGGTCCTTTTCAGCACGGCACCGGCACCATAATTCACTGTCCACTTCAGCGAGGGTGACTTGCCCAGCTCGGCTGTGCCGCAAGCAGTCCATATAAGGCATGCAGGTATACACAGAGCAGGGAACAATCCTATACCGCAAGATAGGTCCCTTTTCTTTTCCAGCCTCTTAGGTCCTTAATGTCACCCTCAGATTCGATCCATAAACGTATGGCAAGATGAAGGGGTTTGTGGTTAAATGCAGGGCTCCAAGCCAAGAAATCTAGGTCTGATTCTCGGCTCTGCCATGTGTTTCCTTGGTCAAGTCACTTAACAGGTTACATCTGTGCCTCAGTTTCCCCCCTCTGTCAAATGGGGAGAATACACCTAACTAAAAGGTGGGAGAAGAGCTTTTGCTCCAAGGTGCAATGGGATGGCAGGGTATCATAAGCGGCATGGCTCTTCTTAAAGGAAAACTTTTGCTTCCTGTTTTCACCCGCTCAGGAAGTCCAAGGGTGGAGCGTAGGGAGCTATATTTGCCTTGGACCAACTCCTAGGAGCTGCTTTTGAAACATTCAATTGACGTGTGTGGTCCGCAGCTTGAAGAGAAGTCACTTTCCCTGGTGGTACACCACCGAGCAGAAATCGTCTTTCTGGTGCACAGCGCAAGGGGTTGCTTTATTTACAGGGCTATTGTGATCCATGCTCCTTGTATGAACACATTTCTCTCAGGCAGGGCTGGGCGGGGATCTGAACCCAACAGAAACCAATCTGAACTTCCAATAGCAGAGCCAGCTGGTACTTTTAATCAGAGAATCTCAAAGCTCATAGCATTAGCATGCCCCACCACTGGGGGGCCCCCCAACTGTCTAATGGCACAAACCCAAACACCCTTGCCCTGCCCCCTTCCTCGAGGCCCCGCCCCTTCTTTGAGGCCCTGCCCCCACTCACTCCAGCCCCCTACCCCCGTCGCTTGCTCTTCCCTACCCTCACTCACTTTCACCAGGCTGGGGCAGGGGGTTGAGGTGCAGGAGGGAGCGTGGGCTCTGGGCTGGGGCTGAAGGGTTCGGAGTGTAGGAGCAGGGCTGGCCTTACCTTGAGGCGAACTGAGGCAGCCACCTTAGGTGCCAGACTGGGGGGGGGGGAGAGGGAGGAGCACGCCACTAGGACCCAGAGTGTAGAAAATTGTGTCTGCTGCTGGTGCGAGGGGGCACGGGGGCGTCATTTGAGCTCCCCACCTCAGGTGCCAAAATGTTGTGGACCGGCCCTGTGTAGGAGGTGGCTCCGGGCTGAGCCTGGGGCAGGGGTGTGGGCTCTGGCAGAGAGTTTGGGTGCAGGCTCTGGGCTGGGACAGGGGGT